ATAAATCCTCCCTGAAAGCCAGGGAGAGTTTTTAGAAAGAAAATATTTGTTTTATGCTTTCAGATCCCTTTAGTGTGAACAATATTAGGCAATTACTGTTGAAACAACAGCCTTGCAAAGGGCAAAAGACTTTTGGCAAAATTCTTGAAATATACTTGATATTTTCACACCTGATATTTTTCAAAAAGGAAAGAAAATTAAGCTGTGTTTTAAACTGGAGAAGACAAAACAGTTCTTGACGCACAAAGGAGATAAGAAAGTGACGTGAACATCGTCTTATTACATATTAATTTTAATTTCCCTCGGATTTGAGTGAGGAAGCAGCACCTGCACAGAAGTGCAACTGCTGAGGAGGGAGTGCAGTGGGTAACGGGGGCTGTGTACAGCTGTCCTGGAGCACTGTGGCCACACGGCTCTGTCCATGATGTAAAACCAACCGAAAAGGCTAAGGGTGCCCAGCACTTCCTTAGCTCAAGCATCTAAACTCCTCAAAACATCTGGAGTAAATGCAAAGTTGTAAATTTAAGAAAATTTAAAAATCAAACCAAAAAGACAAACATGAGCCTTTGCTTGATTAAAAAACAAAAACAAAAACAAAACCCAGGTAAGGCATGATAAAGGGAAATGAGCTATACATTTATTTCTACTACTTTAAAATCATGAAATCCCATGGGTACTCTTTAGTTGGTTTTGTCTTTCTATTGGTAAGTGGAAACATTAGTATAAGGTCTTCTGTAAGTTATTCGTAACTTTCATTTTGCTATCTATATTTTTTATTAAAGATTCCAAGTTCCTCAGCAGGGAATTCTGTTACTCTGGGGCTTAACAGGAAACTAAATCTGGGGGGATGAAGGGCTACTACAAGAGTTTAAATAGTATGGCCCTTCAATTTTACCAAATTACTCTGTGCTGGAACAATTCTCATTCAATGAATGTTTTTCTGCATCTTCTCAGCAATATCTAGTTATTGGCCTATCTAGTCTTGTGTTTCAGTAGGACTAACTGTACTAACCAACATTTGCATTTTACACCCTGATATGTTATAATCAATCTTACATTTGGAAATGAAATGCTTTCTTATACTCCTTTAACAAGCAAAAAGTAAGACGGACCCACAGCATTAGTAGTATCAGTGATTAAAAATAATAAATATAGATGATTCAAGAGCAGGGGTTCAAATGCCTAATTGTAGACATGATGCCTTAAGAAATTCAGATTTTCATTCACGGCATTCAGTCTATGTGTTGCCCCTCAAATTTATCTTAACTTTACAAGAAGGGTAAATGAATCCACACTGACCTGGTCAATAACCCTTCCGTGGAGAGGAGGCTACACTTTATTCTTTTTTTAAGATGACAGACCCCTTGAGACCATTTATTCATCTCTGATTTCCCAAGCATAAGTACTGGGCCATCAAATGTGGGTACTTCAAAAACTTTGTGAAAAAATGCAAATAAAGGGTCAGCTTATTTTGGAACAAAACATTTTTGAAATCCATGAGTAGGTTTTTCAATAATAGGCATTTCCCATGAACTTTTAAAGACCTGATGTACATCTTAACATATACTGTTGATTATTACATGCACTCATGTACACACACAGGTTGGCCCTAGAATTTTCCAAGGCACACCAGTCTTGGAATAGTCATCTGCCAAGGGATAGTGATTCCAAGTACATAAGTGAGTTCCAGGCCTGGCCTCAGCCAGAGATGAGGGTTACACAGAAAGTCTCCCACCTTTTAGATAGCATAAAACTGACTTCCAAGAGTCTACTTCTAAAAAGAAAGAAATCAAGCATAGACCTCATCATGGCTGATAGTCTATCTATTTAAAACCACCCGATGGGGACCAGCAGTTGGCATAATGGCTATGCTGCTGAACTCCCACGTAGTCGCCTGCAGTTCAAGCCCCGGACCTGGTGGCTTAAATTCACACTGGGCGCGTGTGCGTGCGTGCCCAAGATTCTGAGAGGAGAATGCAGGAGAAGGGATTGTGGCGTGGCCATCGCCCCAGGGGGGTGATTTGTCCCTTTATGTCTCTCTGTCTCTCTCTATCTTTCTGGCGAGTGCACGCGCCTTATAGCAAAATATAAATAAACAAACAAACAAACAAATAAATAAATAAATAAAACAAACCACCTCACAAATCCATTAAACACAAAGGAACTGTCAAGCACAATGTGCTCCTAATACCAGCCCCACTTTCTGCCCATGAAATGCACCAGGCTATAGCTGATGTTTCTGGGCCCCTACCCAAAGGGCTGGACTCTGCCGAGCTTCCATGATTTAATTCTGGCTCTTAACCCCAATGGCTAACATCGAAGCAATTTCTTTTCTGTCTGCAATGAGAAGTGTGTTTATTTTATAAAAACAAAGCCAGGGGCCAACAGGTTGCATGGAGGTTAAGGGGTAGATCCCATATGGCTATAGTACTGGACCTGGTGGCTTGAAAACCATGCTGAGGTGCATGTGCATGTGTGCCCAAAAATCTCAAGAAGAGAATGGAAGAGAGGGGACTGTAGAATGGCCATCTCCTGTGGGTGGGTCATTTCTCACTTTCTCTCTCTCTCTTTGATGAACCCAGTGCCCTATAGCAAACTAAAAAACACACACAAACAAAAATAATAAAACTAAATGTTTAAAAAAGAGGGGACAATTGACCTCACTTATGCAGGCAAAAGTCATTTTGGTCTTTCAGTTATTAAGCTAGTTCTTTGCAAAGCTCAGATAGCCCGAAAATGATTTCAGAATATCCCTTCTCCACGGTTCCTTATTCCTGAAAGAGAAAAGTATTTCTCTCTTTTCATTTTTGATTTTGTTTTCTCTAATGATATATGCTAACGAGTTAGATATACATTCTTTAACTAGAAATATTTGCTGAAAGCATTTCAAGAAAATCAGATATACTCAAGTAACATCTAACATCTTATTAGAGAGGTAGGGTCACTGCTTGAAGTATCCAGTTCTGATTTTAACTCAAAAAACATTTGAGCAACTATAACTTTTCATACTGAAACCAAACAATTTTCCTTGAAACTTTTAGATTCCATTTACTTCTGTACTAGAAATGTAAAGTCGTGTAAAGACAAGTCCACCACCCAAAAAGACGTGTACCTTCCGCAGACTCACAGCAGTTACAGACAGGAATAAGCAACGAAAGCTGAATACCCTGTAGGATTACCGTAAGTGAGGATGTACAGAGGTTTCCCGTTTGTGTCCATGGTGGTCAGGCAGGGTGCCTTGGGCGAGATGGTTCCCCATCGCTGCAGCGCGGCTTCCAAAGACGGTGGCCAATTCGTGACCACTCCCAACTGCTCCCCGCGCATTGCCAGCATCTGGGCTCCCTCTGGCTTTGGTTGGTTCGGATCTGGTTGTTGAACTAAATACATTTGAATACAAAAGGTTTTCAAATTAAAATATATCTATATGATCATGGCTACTTTTTCATTCTTTTTAAAAAGAGGATAGGTAGTTCATACTTAAAGTATAAGTGTAGTAGCTAATAGAAAATTCTTTCTGAATCAAGGTTGTAATCTATAGTTTTGTGGAAATACCAGAGACATTTAATTCTTAACAATTTCCAAGGCAACCTGAGGGTGGAGAGCTTAGGGAGACCCAGGTATATACAACTGTGTGTAGGGTCTGGGATTGAATCAGCTACTTAAGGTTTCAGGTATTGACACACACTAGTAATTCTGGACTCTAAAGAGCTACATTGTACTACACTATGCCTGCTCTAAGTTTAATTTGCTACCACTATTCTGAATAACAATTTCATGGAGCAAGTCTTTTCCCAGTAACACTACAATAAATGCATCATGAAACAATCTGCTTTGTTCTTCAGTTTAAAGAGGTGAGAAACTGAAATTGTTTCTCTCACTTCTGGAAAAAATTTCTTTCTTATGGTTTATGATTGGCGATTTCTACTTGCTCGCCAGGAATTCGGCAATGACTTACTTATGGTTTATTGAATAAGAAAATAAGCAGTTTGTGTTTGATGTAATAAGCAGACCTTGTTGTCTGTGTTAAAATGCTCATGAGCATTCAGGGGTTAAGACACCAGCTGCTGCATTTGTAAAGAGTAGCAGAAAAAGGCAGAGACTAGGCCCATGCCACCAAGCTTATTCTTCATAAGCTCATTTAGAGGGACCTGCTTTGTGACAAGCTAAGGATTTCTGTAATTTACTTGCATTTCTGTAATCTTATCGGCCTTAAAAAGAGGCCTGGCTCCCAGGATAAAAACATATTCTGCTGAGGATGACAAACAAAACAGATTTGGAGAGCTGTCAGCTATACCAGGACTTGGTGTTCTAGTAGCATTGGCCACTTGGGAACAGCACCTACTCCCTCTTAGCTAGGTTCTCATCATCTAGTGAACGTCAAGATTTCTGCTCTGGAAAAATAAAAATAGCCTTGTAGAATGAGTATATTATGGTTTATGGGACCATAAGAATATCTGAAAGAAGTGGGAGTGAGAAAGGGTTCTTTTACCTTCTAATAATTCTTCAAAGTCATCAACAAAGAATTCTCGTAATGGTGGCCGTTTCGGTCGTTTGAGGGTATTGACAAGCTGCTGAATTTTTGCTGATACCCGGCTACTTACCGGTACTCCTGAAAAATAGCAACCAAGGGTGAGTAAACAAGAAACCACAGTGAGGTGGCCTGAAACTGAAGTTCATGGTCCCATCTACAGAGCTGTTATCATAGCCTGAACTTCCCACCTATAATGGGAGGTTCACAAAGGATCTGCTCAATTAAATTGACTTGATTAATCCACTTTTTATATAGAAAAAAGAAACATATTCACTCACGGGCACAGAAAGGCAGGTCAGCAGAAAGAGTTTACAGAGGAGGGGAAAACCTTTGAAGACTTACCATCCCCAGTTTCCATGAGCTCGGCATTGCCATACTTGGGTGCCGTCCGGGAGGTTGTGGAGCCCTGTGGTCTCTCCACTTGTATTGAGTGTTCTGAGGTGTAAGTGGTGACATCAGGAGGTGCAGAATGGTTTTCTATAAAGAAGCACATTGTGAGGTTTTCTGACAGTCCTGAGTTATTCTGAAGGCTAAGCAAGCAGCAGGGCCTCAAACGTGCAGGTAGAGACTGTGTTACCATCTGTTAGGATTTGGATAAAGGTTCATGTTTTGAAATGTGGTTCCTAGTGTAATGCAGTGGGAGGAGGTGAGGCCTAGTGAGCATGACTGGATCATGAAGGCATCGTTCTCATGAATGGATTAATGCTGTCTTATGAGATCCCGTGAATTCCAGCTCTCCTGAGGAGCTGTTAGTTGCTGTGTGAAGAGATAAGACTGCTATAAAAGAAACACAGCTGCTGCCAGGTTGGTCTCTGCATACACACCTGCCAGCTTCCCCATTTCCACCGGCTAGGTAGTGATGCTAGCCTGTCTTTGGACTCTCCAGCTACCAGAATTGAGAGTCATATAATCCCCTCTTCTTTATAAACCACCTAGCCTCGGGTATTTCTGCAAGCAACACAATAGTGGACTAAGACACCATCTGATATATTACTCTGAATAAAGTCTGCCACAAAAAACGGTCTGCACAAGGATGGTCTTTAAGATAATTTATGTTGGGGCTCAACTCATAGCACAGAATGAAGCACTGCAAGAAGCAAGCAGAATTCTTCATGGCCAACCAGGTTTGAGTTCTGGCCCCAGCAGTTTGAAAAACATGCCAGGCATAAGTACATGTGCTCAGGATCCAGATGGGATGGAGAACTGAAGAAAAAGTTTGTGGCATGACCAGGCCCTGTTGGGAAGTGCCTTCTCGCTCTCTCATATACAGAACACCCTTTGACATTAAAGATAAATAAAAAAAGATAATTTATACTGACCCAAATGGAACATTAGTTAAAACTTCACACATAATTTTGTAACAGGAGTCACACCAATGAATCACAGCAGCATTGTAAAATAGCCATTAGCAAGGTATTATGAACTTGCTTGCCCACAGAAGACAGTAATGTTTCTTCTCTGTCATAGGAGAGAGAATTAAGGGCTCAAGTTTTCGAGCCGGAGAGTCTGGGATGTGAGTGCCACTTCAGCAACTTCCTAGGGAGTGTGGGAAGTCTCTTAACCTCCGTGTGACTCAGTGTCTTTGCCTATCAAATAGGAACAGCATGACCTTGTAGGGTAGATAGATCGGTTAAATGAGGTAACGTATGTAAAGTTCTTAGGATAGTTCCTGATACAGGGTAAAATGTGTAAAATGTGAAGAAATATTAGCTATTTCATTACTTGTTTTATCATGATACCGAAGAGTCATTCAAAAATATGCTTATAAGCTAATGTGTACCCAGTGCTATGCTATGCCCAAGGAGATGGACAGTGGTTTCTCCCTACAGCACTCCTGGTGGCAAAGTGAAGTCATTAAATGATAGAAAACACATTTTTTATGCTTATTAAAGCAAGTATTAAGGAGTGTATGCCAAAGGGACTATCAATAACATTTTAAACACCTTAAGTTCCAACAGTGGATACTATATTACTAATTTTTATTCTCGAATCTTAACTATATGGAAACTTCAAGATCACCTCCATTCTACCTATTCAGTGTGGCAGAAACATAATATTCTGTGCCATTAAGAGCGGAACTTGGGACCAGCAGATAGTATAATGGGACTCCCATGTAGTTGACATGGTTTGAGTCCCAGACCTGGTGGCTTAAAACTAACACTGGGCACATGTGCATGTGTGCCCAAAATCCCAAGGGGAGAATGGAGGAGAAGGGATTTTGGCATGGCCATCCCCTCTAGGGGGCTGATTTCTCCTTTTCTGTCTCTCTGTCTCTCCAGTGAGCACACGTGCCCTATAACAAAAATTTCTCTTCAAACAAACAAATAAACAAACAAATGAGTGCAACTCATCCTAAAAAACCTTTCTTCTGGAGACTACCCACTTCAGTACTATGCTCAGAGGTCATTATGAACAACAAAATCACCAACAAGAAACACAAGAATGGCATGCAGAAGAATGTGGCACTAAGTAGGCCGTGAAAAGATACTTGTTTATAGTTTGGAGCTGAAACAAGAAGGCAGAGGTAGCCTTGTTCAACCTCCTCTGGGAACAAATGTATGTCCAGAAATGATCATGAAGTTGCTGCAAGATGGACTGGGGGGGAGGGGTGTACAAATTAATTTTAGCAAGTAGGCAGATTCATAAATACAGAATCTGCAAATAACAAGGATCAACTGACTAAAGGAGTGAGCTTGCATATATATTTATGGTCCTGTACAAGTAAGACTTATGGCTGGGGAAAGGGGATTCTGTACCTCTGTGAAGATTACAAACGTAACAACCCAGGGTGCCCAACTCATTCCAATCTGCCTTACCACTCCGGGAACTCTCGGATTCCGGAGCTGTGAGGCAGCATGTACAGAGCTGCATATAGGCCTTCTTAGTCTGCCCAGCTGGGTCCCTGGCCCTTTCTCATAACTGAGCCACCTGGGACCAGTTATGTAACTAAGTTTCTAAGCTTCAGGTTTCTTTTTCTGTAAGACAGAGATAATACCACCTGTTTTAAATGGATATAGTGAGAATTAAGTAAACATATACAAACATCCAAACTTTGCTCTTAGGTACTCATCTCTGCATGGTGATGAGATTCTGAATACTACGAGATGAACAGAGGCACACAGTGCACCCGAAGGCAGTTGCTGGAATTGGGTCTAGATCTTGGCATGTCTTCATAAGGCCTTACATGTCCTATCAGCCTCTAAACAGACTGCTCAGGGACAAGCTGAGTTTTCCATTCCTCATCTCCCTTTTCTAAGAGTATCCACCTTGTTATGGGTGAAATTGTATCCCGCCTCCCAATTCTCATGTTAAAGCCCCAACCCCTAGGACCTCAGAATGTGACTTCATTTGAAGACAGGGTCTTTCAAGAGGTGATTCAGGGCACTGGACTTCCATGTGGCTGATGGTGGTTTGAGTCCCAGACCGGGTAGCTTGCTTTATCACTTCCCTTCTCTCTTTCTCTCATTCTGTCCCTCTCTAGTCAAATAAAAATAAATAAAGTTGAATAAAAATAATTCTTTAATAAAAGAAAAAAATTAAAAAGAGGTGATTAAGGTAAAATGAGCAAGTTAGGATGGGCCCTAACCCAATGGGATGGGTGTCCTGATAAGGGGAAAAGATTCAGACACAGCCACACGCAGAGGGTTGGCCACGCGAGGACACAGGGAGAAGATGGCAACTATATGCCAAGGAGAGAGGCCTCAGGAGATGCTATCCCTGCCATGCCTTGATCTCGGCAGCCTCCACAACAGTGAGGTGATAAACAGCAGATGTTCTAAGCTGCCCGGCTAGTGGGTATTTCGTTACACAACTCTCACAAATCAATACACCCTTCAGGGCAATCTCTTAGATTTCAGCCCAGAAGAGGGGTGTCCACGTCAGAATGAAACTCAGAAACTGGACCATGAGAACTGGGGAGGGAGGGTTAGTGTAGAATCTGAGACTCTCACAGTGAGTGGTGGGGGAATGCTCACATGGCCCATCATGTTCAAAGCCAGATTTACCATTTTTATAGGCCCCATCTGTACATTTCTGTGTAGGCTTCATAACATGCTGCAAAAGGGTCTAATTCTCTCAACCTCCACCTTGTCATGGCCAAGGAATACGCCACTGCTGGGCCTTAAGGTTTCAGATGAAAGCACAGTAGATGCTAATGAATGTTAAGTAATACTTGAAAGCAGTCCCTAAAACAAAAGCAGTTAAGGTGTGAGCGTGCTGTATTTGATGTTATTCAGGTTCATGTGTTTAAGTTATGCGTAACTGCATCATGGGAGACACCCAATCATCTTTGTGTTGGGCGGCAGGAAAACTGTGGTGCTTCCACTTTGAAGTTGGGTAAAGTAATGACTCCAATATATCTGGTGATTAAAAATAGATGCGGTGACAGCTGGGTGACTTCAAAGTGATTTCCAAATTTATTTATATGCCACCTCCCCCTCTCCTTTTCAGACTCCTCACATATGCCACCGCTATAGGATCATAAGCCTGGCAGCTGGCTTCTGGTAGGAAGCCGGAGAAGTTCTGCTGTTGGAGTGACGCACACGCCCTGTTTTATTTGGGTGGAGATCAGGACTCCCAGTACCTGAGTCACTTATCCTTTCAGGAGTATTTTCCTGTATGTGTTCAAGAATTCCATATATAAAATACATGTAAGAAACACTTATTGATGGATCAAGAACAGTAACCCAGGTTAAAAGTGCAGGTTCAAGGTCTAACATGCTCATCAGCTTCCAGTCATGAAGCCCAGAAATCCCTATGCGCCAGAGACACTTTGATGACAAAGTGTCCTCATTGCAGGGGTGTGTATCTTCTGAGATCACCCACTTTCTTCAAGTCAACTTCCTACTATCTTCAAAGTCAAGGAAAAAAAATGGCCACCACCGGGACCAGCAGTTAGTGTATGGCTATGTCGCTGGACTCCCATGTAGCCAACCACGGTTCGAGTCCTGGACCCAGTGGCTTAGACTCACACTGGGCGTGTGTGCGTGCATGCCCAAGATCCCGAGAGGAGAATGGAGGAGAAGGGATTGCGGTGTGGCCATCCCCCCTGGGGGGTGATTTCTTGCTTTCTATCTCTCTGTCTCTGTCTTTCTGGAGAGCGCACACGCCCTATAGCAAAAACCTCTCAAAAAAAAAAAAGCCACCACCTTTTAAGTCACACAGCAGACATCATTTTCATTATAAACCTCATCCCTTAGCTGTCTGTGGTACCTTTACTTCTGCCTCCCCAAGAAAGCTTGGGCTTCCCCACAGGGCAGGTTCTGGCTCATCCATGCTAGTACCACTGCTGTTCTCATGAGTCCCTTAAGAATATGGAATCCAAGATGCACAAACAGGAAAGGCAGGAGACAATGCAACTGAGTTCAGACCATCAAGTCCCAAGTCAATACAATTCAATGGTTTTTACGAATCTGCAAGTTGTTGCATAAGTTAACTATATATATAAGTTAACTATATATATATATATTTTTTTTTTG